TCTTTTTTATCTGTCAGCCTTCAGTGGGATTCACAGGACTGCAGCTCTGCTCTGGAAAAGTCTCTTTAAAAAGGCAGTACAACTCCACAGGATTTTTGCTTCTCAGGTTTCTTCCTCTCAGAGTGAGTAAACTCACCCTAGGACTTGTACGCCAAAGCTAGACACATCTTGCCAAGTGCATCCCAAACTGTAACGAAGAACTTGTAGGATAAATTCTCCTTTCAAAGCATACATGGGACTACATGATTTTCAGTAAAAATCATGCAGATGCGACCAGGGACAATATGCATGCCAACATTTGGACCTGAACTACCAATCCCATTGGTATGAGCTGAACAAGCTGAGCTTGTTCTGCTGTCATTGAATTAGTGTCAGAGATACAGAAGAAAATTTTTACAGTCCTCCTTCTGACATCAGCTGCATTTCAAGGGACACTCACTATAGGAGAGATACCGGACTTTTCAATCACTCAAGTACACTCACACCAAAATACTGCAAAACTACAGTGAATCTTCTTCAGCATTGCCAAAACCTTCCATTCCTAATTACTGCTTCCTCAGTAGTTGGGACCTACACATAACAGAATACATGAATGACAGCAGACTGGTGACAGCAGAATACATCCCCAGGGCTTCTCCCCCATTTTTAAATAAAATTATTTATTTCTGCATTTCAGCACTTTAAAGCTGCTGTTTCTCTAGGCACATCTAAACAGTCCTGGAGAAACTCTACAGCCCTGGTGAACTGCGTTGGAGAGTCTCACTTATGAGAGATGTTCCTCACTCATACAGACTGGCACTGCAAGTGGTGAAGGACTGCACAGAAGAGGGGTTGTGTTATGGAATCGGCTTGAGTGAGGGTTGGAGGAGTCCCAAAGATCTTCTCTCTCTCTGTTTAGTGCACTGTTATAGGTGGTCCTGGATACGTGGGCTGCTGTCCTTTGCCTTCTGACAATCAGATGTCATCCTTTTTCTTTTAATCCATTTTCAGCTTTATGTCCATATTCAGAAAACACCAAACAGGTGGGTTTTGGTTTTTTTTTTCTTTTTCTATTTATTTCTTCACTGCTGCAAAAATATGGCCCACAACATTTTCCCACCTCAAGGTCACAAATGTTTTTCATCCTGCCACTTGGAAGTTCTTAGTCAAGATACGTTTTTGTTTTTGTTTTTTTCTTTGTTAACAAAGAACTGCTAGATAAGGCATGGAATGGGAAATCCCCATTTCTTCCTTAAGCTGAAAAATTGTTAAAGCTGGAAAAAGGGAGAATATAGTGAAGGTAAGAGTTAAAAAAAAAAAAAGTTCAGCTGCCTACTGCCACCCACATCACACAACTGGTGACTTCAGTTGGGCTCAAATACATACTAACTTCCTTGTGTAATCCATCTAATGTGTTTTCAAGCTGTGAGTTAACACACAACCGTGTCAGGTGTTTTGGTTCTCGGGAAGTTACGATCCCTATAAACAGCCTCTTTCTAAGGTAAGGCTGTAACCCTGCTGTCAGTGGTTTAATTTAAAGGCACTGGCTTCAGCACTTGGTAGGAACATGCATTTTTGGGTGATCAATCTATTTATATATTTATATGTGTGATATTGGGGTAGTCAAAATCTTGCCAACCACTCATTTGGGTGCAGAGGTGATATACAGACTTGCGTGATACTGCTTCTCTCGAACAACTATATAAGAAGCCTGTTCCAAACCGTTGCAATTACACTACATTGCAAATAGTCAGTGAAATTCCACCTACTGCTCCAAAGTGCACATACTTAACATTATGAGTCCAGCACCTATGCAATTCACTCCTCCTAAACACAAGGTTTTCTTTCCTGAGTCCCATGCCCACAGTCACTGACAGGACCACGTGTTACATCCTTGTAGAGAGTATTTTATATTACTGAAGTATGCCCCACCTTTCAAGCTCAGTGTATGAAAAGTAATTTTAAAATTCCACTTTGCTCCAAAGATAATCAAGAAGCAGGCTAGAGGTCAACACTCTGGCCACGGAAAGGAAAAGCTAAATTACGTAGCTCTCATCTCGCCAAGTTCTACTATATGCCAGACTAAACACAGACTAAACACAAATGTCAAGGAACATTGTGAAGAAAGAGAAGAGCCTGAGGATTCCATGAACCAGATGGTTCAGTCATGGAAATGGATGTAACTGTTGGTAACAGCTTTCTGTGCCTGTACCAGCTTCTCATCTGATCACTGTTTTCAGAAACTGGTAGATTCATTAACAGATACTTAAATTCAGGATACTTTAACTTTCAGAAAAAAAGGTTTGGGTTCCCCCCCCACACTTTTAATAGGGCAATAAAAAAATTGGCAAAAGAGTTCACAAGCACATGAGCATGCAGAAGCTTACCAAATTTTTTTCCCTGAATTCTGAAGTAGAAACACACATTTTGGCACATGCATTCCACAGAGTCCTTGTGTAGCACATGAAAAACCCAGCCTTTCCCGTAGCTGCAGAAAGTGAAGTGTGGGTCTCCCTTGTTCAGGCCATCCTTGGAAGTGGTGCCTCATGTGTTACTTTTCTTACTATATTTAAATACAGACTATGCCATACCATTTTTTTGTGAACAGCGAAGCAGTTCTCCAGACAGTTTGAGAACATAACTTCCAAACACAGATTTCAGACTTCTTATCTTTTACTGTCCTGCCCCGTGGACTTGCAAGGTTTTAAAGAGAGACTTTTGCATCAGAAAGCCTCTTTTATTTACCAGTACATTATTTGTCCCGTGTCCCACTTTCTTCATAAGATTGGGGAGTGAAAAGAAAAAGGATATTCTTCCAAACATAAAATGATGGAATACCACAACAGCATTGCCATCACTAGCAAAAACAAATGAGAAATGGCTTAAGTACCTCTAAATTTCAAAGCTCTTATTTCACATTCCTTCTTAAATAGCTGGAACCAGCAGCCAGAGAATGAACGTACTTTCTAGAAGCCCACATTTTTTTGAAATGAAGTCACAGAAAAGTGCTAATATTATAAGCACTGGCCTCTGACCTCACTGCTGAATTAAGCTGGAGAAGGATGTGGGCTATGACAGAGATGGTTTTAATGGGAACACTGCGGAACAGTCATTCTTCAGCATTGTCAGAAAGACCAAATGAACATTGCCTGATTCACTCTTCATTCTGCAGAGGTATTGGCAACAGTCATGTTTACAAACTTGGCAGAAAATAAATGTTTCTTTAATTTTATCCCAGAAGGGATTATCATACAAAAAGCCTAAGAAGTTCAAAATGTAATAACCAGTTGGTTCTGCTGTCACAACCATGCTGGTGTTCTGACTCCATTCAAACCTTAGTCTGTGTCCATGAGGGCTTTAAGTATTGGCCAGGGAACTGGAAATTAATTTTGATCGCTTTGGTACAGTAAGCCCCCCAAAACAATTTTATACAGTCTTTTAATGATCATGGGTAAACAAAAAAAAATAACCGAGCTTCCTAATAAAGAGGGGAAACATACCATCTGTTTTTCTACATTAGTGAGCAGCCAGTTTCTTCCTAGTTTTGGTTTTGGCAACGACTATTATGTACACACTTCTTGAACAAGGTATGTAGGGTTCTTCCATGGTGTCCTCCTACCTGTTTTCAACTCAGTCTGAGTTAGTCCTGTCACAGTTATTGATCTGTGTGCTGGAAGCAGGAACAGATTTGGTAGCCAAAGACCACCACACCATACCAATGTTACATACCTGTATGTTACCAGTGACATTTCTACCCCAGTAAGTGAGGCAAACACAGCCCTCCCCTCATAATGGCCCAATGATCTCTTTGGTGGACTACTGTTCCTTAGACCTTTTACAACTACAGTCTGCTATTGTTTGAAATATCCACACTGTAGCACCAAATAGTTTTGCTTTTCATTTTTCTAGGGCAAGGCTCCCAAGCCTCCTCACAAGCATGGAGCTTACCCTCTATCTCTGTGTCAGTCTGTTAGCTTTAGTTCAGTCTGATCTGAAAATAAAAACACTCCAACAAATCATGACTTAAGTAAAATTTCTGTATGTATTATGTCAGTCACAGTTATGCAATGGCCAAATATTAGTAAATTCGTAGCTAATATTGAACTAAAACTCTGGAAAAAACAGCAACAAACAGTTCCATGGCACGTACCATTCTTACCATGGGGATAATGCTTACCCTTTGTCCAAAGGGACAGTGGAAACGAGTATAAATATAAAAACTGTCTCAAAACTGCAAATCTAAGCCTATGTTAATGCTCTAAACTGACACTGACTTTCACTAAAATTATTCAGATCCAAACATAAGCAATGATTTAGGACATCAATTTATAACCTAATGCTGGTGACCCTGTACCAGTCAGGCTGGATTGGTTTCTGTCCACAAAGCAAACTACAGAGTGGCAATATTTTATCACTGGTCTTGCAAGAGCATATAGTATGCAAATATATTTTTTAAAGATATACATACACATTTCCCCACATTCAACTGTGGCTGAGTATTCCTCTTCTAGTTTTCAATAATTTTTAAACAAAATAAATACCAAGCCCTTTCTGTTTGGATACTTTGCCTTGTCTTTCCAGCCTGAACGAGTCTACAGATATTTTCTTAGTTATACAAGGCCAATGTTTCACTTTGCAAACATTGAAGATGAAGGAACACTTGAAGCTTCAGCACCAGAAGGAAAACAAGGAAGAGTGCAGAGGGTAGCTCCATTCGGAAGCATAGAGCTATAACAATGATTGTTCCAGTTTGTTACAAGTAGCTCATAAAGACTTTTATTCTAAGTAGTCCCATTGATCCTGACAACCAAAGTGATTCTTATGTGGGGTCACACCTTCAACACCCTTTACGTGATACAGTTTGTAATCTTGCAGAACAGCAACACAAACCAGTTCCCCATAAGCACTGGAGAGATCAGAATATTTGCAATCTCTTGCAAAATATCATCTCAGTTTATTCAAGTCTTTGCCTATTTCCTTAGAAAAAAGAGTCTATCATACTTAGGAGTTTGTTCACATGATTCTTCTTGTTGCTGGAGTGTTGACTTCTTAACCTAAGATTTTATTTAACTGTTAGGCTGAATGAGGGTTGAGAGAGAGGAGGAGCTCCGTAATATTAGCAGATTAATTAATATTACTTGTGATGACACTGATGATTTTCCCTGTTTGTCCCTCATCTCTCCTTACTATCCTCATTTTGCTGACTTTTTTCATTTTTTCCAGAGTGTTGTCAACAGAGCTGTGAAAGTTCATTCTTTTGAGACAACAACATTGCTAATGTCCATTAAGTCTTTGCTTCCATAGGAAGCAGATACCTGGCAGATTTGCAAGGGAATGCTAAATCAACTATGGAAGTTCTGCACTGTTGTCTGTTTCTGAGAAAGTCGTAGAAGTTCTTCTCTAATTGCTTTGATAAGAGAGGCTGAAGAGTGACCTGGCTGGAGGTCCTCAGTGGAACTGGTGGTGTAGCAAAGGCCCTGGCCCTGAAGGCTGTTGTGTGGAAGCTGAGCAGGGGGTGCCGAAGGCTGCCTGGCTGAAGTCCTCGGCATCTGGAATACTGGTGAGGAGGAATATTCTTGGTGTCCATGCATACGCGTCTGGAAAAAGGTAGAAAGAATTATTGTATTTTCTGAACAAGCACGATAATCCCAGAAAAGACAAGAAAGCAAAAAGGCAAAGAACAGAGGGAAAGCAGCATGGAGATGCTTCTATCTGCTGCCACTGTTCTTCTGTTGTATGAATGAGTGGAGCACAAAACAACAAGTGTACACAAAGTTGCTGGACTGCCTCAAGTTCAGGGATTTTCAAAATCTTTTTGAGCATCCATTAAAAAGTCTGACCCCCTTTCTAATCTACGTCACATTTAGATACTGAAGTGGAAGGAGGTGGGGAGAAAAAACACGGAACTGGAAGCCAACAGAATTGGCTTATCTTTCCTTGCCTGTTGATCAACGTCCTAAAAGACAACAGGCAAATCTCTCTCTTCCCAGCTGTCATTTCTCCATACTATCTATAAATAGAGATATTACTACCTTCACCTCCCCCTTCTCTGCCTGACTTGCCTGTTCAGACTGTACACTTGTGAGGACCCTGTGACTGACCAGTGCCCAGGAAAACATGGTCAACAGAAAAAGCAGAAGGACAAAATTATTCAAACCAGAAAGATCAGTTTTTTCTATATGCAACAGCTGTTTTACATACTGAGAAACACTATCCCAGTTTAGGGACAGTCATTGTTTCAGGGCAGAAAGGGGTTAATTCTGCATTTGTTCAGTAACATAGATCTTCTAACAAAACAAGAGAAATAAAACAGAAGCCTGAGTTTATGGGCTTGTCTATCTGGAAAAAAACCTGCTTACACTAAAACAAAGCATGAATTTACAGTACAATATGTGACTGCACCCACTCCCAATATGGACACAAACGAGGTACATTTCAAAAAACTAAATTCCAGCTGACATCCCTAAAACAAGCATTTCCTTGTGCCTTGTATTGCTGAAGGCTGAGAGACAGCCAGCAGAAAACACTGGGCACAAAGGACCTGAACGCACCCTGCTAAACGTGTAACTAGGAGCAAAGCAGTGTAATCCCCTTTCAGAGGGTCTGCGCTGGGGATGAGGAGCAGCTACCTGCAGCAAGTTCAGATCTCAGTTATCGTGATTTAGTGAGCACTATCTTTCTCTGTTGACAAGCCTTAAGTAGTAGCAGCGAAAGCAATCTGATGAGGGAAGAAAGGACAGCAAGATCAGCTAGAAGAGGATTTGGGGGCAAGGAGGAGGTGAATGAAGAGATTACAAAGCAGAGCCTGGGAAAGATAGAGAGGCACTACAGTGACTGTGGCAGCAGTGTGCAGGGAACAGAAAAATGCACGAAGGTATGTTCCTTAACATCTCTCGTAACAAAAATGAACAAAATCTAAGCCTTTTTGTATAAAGTAGAACTAGTAACAGACTGACTCTCTTGCAGAGCTCATGTACAGCACTGATCATTTACACAGTTAATGTGGGGAGAGAGATTAGCAGGAAAAGAGACTTTAATAGAAGAATGATAGGTAAAGGTTTTCAAGTTACATCCTGTCTTACTTACAAAAGGGAGGTGATTTTAGTATCAGAAAGGAATGAATAGGTCTCTTGATTGTTCAGAATTATTCATTTGCAAGTGAAACCTGAAACTAATTCATAGATGCAGTCTAGAGTTAGCAAACCTGACAAGTACTCTGTGGGTTTATAGAAAAGAGATGACATAAAAAAATATTAAAAGCAAACATTCCTTGACACATGAGTCTTAACAGCAACCTAAATTCCATTCAGGTTACTTTCACATTAAAATGCATTACCTGATTCAGCTCCTTTCTCATACTGCACTGAATTAGCATCACAAGAATAGTTTCTTAAGGGAAACTAGGAAGAACATTTGGAGACCACAGTGGCTGTTGTTTTAACATTAAGGCTATCAAAATTTTCTTAAATACCTCAGAAAAACAAAAGTGTGTAGTTCTGTGATCTCATATGTAACATCAGGATTAAACAGGTCTGAGAACTTTCAAAACCAGATTGGTTTAGAAACCTAACCTATACTAAACTACAAGAGCAAAATAAGGACGGTAAAAAGGTTGTAAGAATTTTTGCCTTTTTTTTTTTTACTTTTAAATGTCTTTACTAACAGAAATACACATTGATATATATTATAATAGATGTGACAATGTATAGCTTTATATAGTATCTATAAATTATATAATTTTGTATAGAAACTTTATCTAATTAACAGTAGCACAAAATAATTGACAAAAATACTTTCATTGAATCTTCCTTCTTAAGGAATGAACATTTACGAGATCACATTGTGTATTTGTTAATCTCCATTTAATTACTGTTGAACTCTGTGGCCAATTTCAACTTAATTGGATGTGTAAATACATACACACATATATGTATATTGTATATGTACAAACAGATATATATTATCAAATTCATGAAAATAGGTATCTAATTAGACATAACCTGATTTGTGCTATCAATTGAATCTGCTTCTGAGTGGCAGAAAGGCCAGGTTAGGCTGTGCCCAGCTAGACCTGTCAGACAGCATGTATCTCATAGGGGATAGCTAGCGGACATGAGGGACAACTTGAAGTACCATGAGGTGGTTCAGAGACATTGTTGTGGGTAGCCAGAGTATAAAAATAGAGTAAAAGGATAAGGGTAGCTTGGGGAAAACATTTGAAACCTGGAGAAGACTTGGGAGAACAGTGGAAAGCTACAGAGGATTGTAGACAGATAGGAGGTGATGCCAGGTGGTAGTAGGGAGGCAGAGATACACAAGACACTACACACATCTGTAAGAAACCAGGCTTCATTTCTTCTGCTGCTCAGATGACTACTTGCTCAGTATTGTATTTTGTGTCAGCTAAGGAAATGCTGTGATTATCCTAATTGCGTGGGCCTTCCAGACGGAGAATTAAGGTGAACTGATAGAAAACTACACACTGGCTCTGGGTCAGGAGATACAAGGGAGAGGTCATATTCAAGGGGAAAATCAGAAGGTGTTGACTGCAGGAATAACAGCTGAGGATACCATAAAGAAAACAGCCACTGCAGGAACACCAATGCAGATCCCTCTCACGTTTGTGGGTGAGAACAACACTCTAGATGTAACCTTCCTAAATGCTCAAGAATACTTGCTCAAGAATGAGGGAACAGTAAGACCGTTTGCAAAGGATCAGCTGAATACTGCACCATAAGGAACATGACTGTCATTAAGAAAACCCCCCTTTCTGAAAGGAGGAAAGACAAATGTAGAGCTCTGTCCTAGTGAAGGAAACCAAAGTCTGAAGGTAATTATTTAACCAGAGAAGACTACAAGATTAGGGCTCATCTAATAGTGCTTTTTTTTTTAATGGGGCTAATCCTTTGCCAAGAAAAAAAAAAGAAAAAAAAAAAAGAAAAAAGAAAAAAAAAGAAAAAAGAAAAAAAAGAAAAAAAAGGAAAAAAAAAAGAAGAAAGAATTCCTCATAGAAAAAGGAAAGTGCAGGTATTAGGTGAGCTCTCCCACAACTAAATGACACAATACTCAGATAGTTTTAGTCCATGATCTCCTCCATTTGTGTTTTTTTTGTTTGTTTGGTTGGTTTTTTTAAAAACAAACTCAAAAAAATCACAGTGCAGTAACCTATGAACTACAGCAACCACTGTGCAAAAATTTCTATCAAAGCCAAGGAAGTATTTAAAGTCTGATTAACTAAAAGAATTCAACCTTGATTGAGGTGGCATGTACCCATCTGAAATGGTGACTGAAGGTGCAAACTGCAACCAAATCGTATTGTACTGGGCCATGAATCTTTGAAAGTTGGGCAGATAACTAATGTAAAAACCAACTGTTTGCATAGCATCTTAGACAACTGAATTTTCAGTAATATGTTAGCAATTCAAGTAATATAATATTAAGAAAGTGATGGCTGAACATGTACTTGGGGGACAGAAGGCAAAGGCCCACAGATCTAGAAAAGTCATTTTCAGAAATGAAAGGCAAATTATAAGAAGGGGCAATGAATGGTAACCTAGAGACGCTTCTCAAAATGGAACAGGAGAGACAGTAAGATCTCTCATTGCAAGTGCTTTTCTAGATGTAAACTGAAATTATGATGTTCTTGCACTCAAATACCACAGTTCCAAGCACAGATAGCAAGTTAAATAAGGCAAATGCATCCTTTGTCTTTGACAGTTTAAAGTTTTTTAATAGTATCAGTAGAGTTTGTCTCTAGTGTGCTCAGTTCTCAAAAGCTTTATGCTGCTCCTCTCAAGGTCATTTGGAGAGGTGGCAGCTCATTTTCACCAAAATCTAAAGACGAGGTCCATCCTGTTGCATTTTCTTCACGCAGTCATTTAATGATCACGAAATACTACAAAGCAACTTGAAGTAGTGTGAACACACACTGCCCTAAGTACCCTAAGTATGCAAAAGAAGGACATCTTTCCTTCCCCTCAAGGAAGAAACCAGAAAAAATGATAGTTTAAGCAAAGGAGCAACAGAAGGAGCATAACTTGTCACTCCTAATAGCGCTACAATAACATGTCACTGCTGCAGGACACTACACAGACTGGTAGCAGGCAACTGTATCTTTCCTGAAAAGGCCATATATTATCTTCAACCGCACACATCTGGTTGAATCAGAAACATCAACCTCTAGAAGCACGATGGCTGCCTAGGAAATGTTAATTTACCACATCCTGCTGACTGAGGCTAGGAAAATAAGTTGTTTAGAAATACCTCTACTGTTATGTGCAAGTATACACCTTATTCCACTGCCCTGAGTCCTCCTGTTGTGCACTGATACAGAAGACAAAAGAACTATACCAATACAAAGTAGGATGGTAGTCTGGGACAATTTAATTCAATGTTTTCTACTTACAATGATCTCAAAATACAGAGGCATATTTCAAAGAAGAAAATGGAAAGCAGTATCCACCTCTGCTGGAGCTCAGAAGCAGAACTGGATGAACTGCAATTAATGGGTGAAGGCCTCAAGTGAGAAAAAATAAAGGTTAGGGTAAAGTGAGAGAAAGCAGTTAGAGAGAAGCAAAGGTGGAAAGAACAGCAAGCAAAAGTTAGAAGAGCTAACGCGGGTTCGAAGAGCAAAGCAAAGAATGTCAGAGAAGCAACTGAAAGTATTCCAGGGGGAAAAAGTTCCAAACAGTAATGCAGGAAAAAAAAATACCCGAACATATCACTACTTCGGAAACTATGCAAATGTGTAACACAGTACTCACTGCATCTCGCCTAGCATATTCATCCTCTCCATGGTACTGGGGCCACCCTGGCCCCCCCGGCTGGCCATGCCCTGCTCTGCCTGAGGGGATCTCCACTTGTTGACCTCCGATCCTGCTAGCAATTCCCACCTGAGTGAGGTGCTGTATCTGAGAACCTTAAAAGCAAATATTGTTTTTTCATCTTTATACACAGTCAAGTTTGTAGGGCAGACAAATGACAACATAAAACTTTGTTGGAAGCAGGAGACAAGGAGAAAGTGGAGCTCTGTTTCTGTGCAATTAATAATAAATCAGCAGAAAGAAGGCTGTCAGTGTAGAATAAAGAAGGAAAAGTTATGTGCACTTTGCGCAGGTCATTCGAGTGTGATGCTTTTCATTGCCACTGTACTGAAAGATGAGGTTGAGATACATGCATCTCAGACATGAACTACACTTCATTCCAAAAATATGCCAGCCCTTTCCAAACAGCATTTACTGAAAGCCCTGGCAATGCTTTCATGTAAATTACTCAGCAGCAAAGACAAGACATTTACTCCTGTGGTACACCTTATTTGCATCACACTGGCAAGACCCTAACTCTCCAGACTGCTTTCTATTCCACTCTCAGAAGAATAAAATACATGACTATATAAGATATCGTTCTTTCAGCTTTACTTTGTGGTTAAATATTAAACAATGCTGTCGTTGACTAATGAGAAGGTCAGAACACACTGTATCTCCTTTCAGCCTGAAAGCTAACCACCTCTTTTCTCCTTTCCCTTCCCTTCCCTCCGCTCCCACTGCTTTCAAACACATGCAAGGATAGCCACCACCATTAATTGCAAGAGACATGTTAACAACATGCCAGCTTCCCTGTTCCCCCGAATTCTCTCCCACAGGGAAACAACATTTATTTTATTATTTTTATATTTTATTATTCATTAGAAACCAAACACATTTAATACACCCACAGATACATAAGAGAAAACCATGTGTGTGTATGCATAAAAAGGGAGGAAAAGACAAAAACAAGTGTGATTTACGTGATGGACAGTTAGGTCACTTTTATATTCTCATCTCAAAAAAATAAAATATTTGAGAAGTTTGATATTTGCATGCAATTATGCTGAAGGACAGGAACTAATCATCTGAATTGCCTCCAAACTTTAAAGCAGAATATACATGAACATTCAGAGAATAGTGTGAATCAGACAGTAAAATAATAATCATTAAATGATAACAGTCACTACATCCCTGTCATTCTCATTCATTTAACATTTACAGGGAGAAGATACCAGCTATCAACACTAGGACTCAGACTCGTACTTCCAGTCTTTTTCAACTCCCCAGGATGAAAATATTTATCTGGGAGAAAACTAACTGTGGCATTTGCATAAGAATAGAATCTTTTATTCTTAGAATCTGTGTTTGCTGCTTGATTGCCATGTGATGTTAAAATCTTATTCATGATAGCATTGACGTGTGCTACAGAAATACTCTCTCAACCAAATCAGGGCAGATGATTTCATATGGGACAGCAGCAATAGATAATATCATCAGAAGCTAAAAGATCCTGCTTTTATGCATACATTTATAGGAAGAGAAATGAGAAATAAAGATGCAGAAAAGTAGTAAAAAATTATTATTTAGCAGACTGGTTTGGGATGCATCAGTTAGCTCATTTAGCTCAAAAAAATAGTTGGCAGTGGTAGTTAGCATACACTGTACGCTCGAAATCAATTAACCAATTTTCCATTCTTAGAGAACGTTTTGTGAAAATACACTATGTGGTAATCAATGCTTGTAAGATAGTAAAAAGGTGTCAAAGCACTGCATTTTCCTACAAGATTCTATGGATGTGAAGTTAACCTCAATTTGTGATCACTTTTTTTTGGCAGTGAAGACATGGACCACATTTCAAGTGTAGTAGCCGAAGGAGAATGACCTCTTAATGGTGACCTCAGAGCAAGAGTAGATACAGAAAAGGATCAGTTATTTTAGTGCATATTCAACTTAAGTGAAGTGTACCTGCAGTACTTCCAACTGGTCGTGGCCGTGCCACTGATGGCATTTCCTCTGAGTACATCCCTCTGGAGGAATACTGAACCTCAGGTGGCTGTTGGTCTGGGTGCATTAACTCTGCAGGTTGAAGAATACCCGGCCCAAAGTTCTGCCTGTGGAAAAGTAAGGACTCGAGATTACAATAAGTGAATTGCCTAACTAGAAACAGTAATGCAGGTGTACCTCATACAGTAACTCTTTATGATGCCTTTTAATGTGCATTTTAACCGTAAATGTTAAAGAAAATAATTACATCTGAAGAATATATTCCTCCTTCATGACCGGCATTGCACAAGAATAGGAGTTAGAAACTCTTAACAAAACGTCACACAAATGTTTTTCACATGTTGCAGTTTCCTCAATGCAGAGAAAAAATTACGGAGATGTTGTTTTCCCCTTGGGGAAAAAAAGCATCTTCAATGAAAAAAAAAAAAAAAAAAAAAAAAGAAAAATAAGACTTCAGTAGTGATGTAGCTACTTACCTGAGCAACAAATCTGACTCTTACTTAAGAGTTTCTGGGCACACAGTTTTGATCTAAATCAAACCATACAGACTGCATTACATGTGCATTTCATAAACAATTATTATTTTATCAAGTGTTCTGATTGTTTTTCAGGAAATTTTCAAAACTTTGCCCTATAAGATTCATCAAGATACACAAAGCTGTCATTAGCATGTATGAAGAGATGCAACATATACTAAAACAAATGCTTCATATAATTCAGGCTGGTGCTGGTAGTCGTTGTTATATATTTACTGAAAAGAGTTAACAACAGAAACTGTCATCAATCTAACTTCATTAATTGTGCCAAGGTAATAGGATTTGTAAAATAAACCCTACAATTCATTCAGAGAAGATGAGTAGAGAAGGACATGGAAATGCTGCTTTTCCTGTGTTTTCTATTAATGTATCTTAACACTGGCATCAAGAGGTTTTATTTTAAGAGACTGATGACAGCTGAGTTTTCAAGTATTATTGATTCCTGTCAATATGGTGGAGGTGTGCATGCCCAAACTTCAGGTGCTTAGGTTACTAGGCTAGTCTCTCTTAGACTCCCGGTATGATCAAAGAAGACAGACACACCCCTCAAGAGGCATTCAAAGCAAAAGATTAGGTCACCAAATAATTTTCTGCAGGAGGCTCTCACAGGTGAGTATAAACGAAGCAAAGTGAGACAAACCATCCTAAGTCAAGCACATGAAATTACACAAAGTAAGGACTACGGAGGAGTTTTGTATGCCTTTTACCACAACAGCACCTAAGCCCTTCGAGGCTATGGACTGCAACCTACCCCACTCATCAGGACCAAAGTTTTACACCCTTTTCTTAAACAGGAAAATCCCATGACTGCATCTAATTCAAACTATTCTTGATCTGTGCTTTATTTGGAAAACTAACCACCTTTGTATGACAGTCAGATAGCAAAGAAAGCTGATGTAACAATAAAGAGCTTACTAAAGCCAAATAAGAGCCTAATACAGCACAAATGAGTAATTATAAATTAAAGTACTAGCTACTCAGCATGCAGTACTAAATGGAGGAGGTATAAGGGGTTCTAGCTGCAACAATCCTGTTGTGGAAGTGCCAGAATTTCTCCAGGTCCCTTGCATACAATCCCACCTGTTCACTCAGCAGATCCAGAGGAAACAGTTTCCAACCAGACTTACAAACTAGTTAAAATAAATGCCTCAATGGGTAGGTAATGTTTAACAATGTCACTTCTGTTATGTTAATCACTGTAACCAGTAAAGGATGTGATCGTCTAGCACTTTATGCCTGCAATGCTGAGATGGAATCTTGTAGCTGATAAATTACTACAATTTTTTGATGTTATCTAAAGAAAATATTTTCTCAACATTACTGCAAATGTATTACTTTTATGCCGACTTTTTAGAGGACAGGAACTATATCCTTTATTGCTGATGGGTTTGTATTTGAAAGGCGCACATTTAATATAATAACCCATCACCCTCTCTTCTCAATCTCCTTTATAATAGACAGATATAGCTACCCTTTAAAGTCAGAAATCAACGGAAGAATATAAGAATGGGATACAGCTCTGAATCTATACCAGACTGGCTTTCTAGTGCTTCTTCCTATTTCTAGACTGAGACCCAGCCTTCAATTTGTCTTTGCACATTCAAAAAAATTATTAATCTCCAGTTATTTAATTAAGTGGGGAGATACTGCCCCAAAAATCAATTTTACACCAGTAATCCTCTATAGCTGGTCTAGTCTGGTAATAGTCTCTATTACTGTTGCATGATGCAATATTAATTTTCTGGTAAAAGCTGTTCATTGCGGCTTTACGTTTGCCTAGCTGTTATGTGACCTAGGTCTTCTACGTTTAATTTTTTTTTAGCCAGGTTGGTTCCACCCCATTAAAGATACTGACGGTATTTGTACAGAGAAGGGAACCGTACAGTCACCCAACTATTACTCCATGCATTGGGTATTTAAGCCAATGGACTATGACATTGATACATGCCACCTAATCATATTGACCTCAGGTTATTTATCCTTCCTCAAATTGGTGCACTGTTTCTATCATTATCTTGTGAATTTGAGCAAAACCCCCACTCCAAAACCATGACAACTCTTTTCCTTGTTTTCTATAGACCAAGCTTTAGGAAACGTTCCATTTTAATGAAAATGTAAAAGAATTCTTCCTGTTAAGGTCAGTGACCTTGCAGATTGTTAACTTAATTTGCCTGCACTGGCAGAGCCAGAATTTGAACTATTAATAATGACGCCATTAATCTGTAACCTACAGAAATCCAGAATGCCTGTGCCAAGAGATCATAAACTTTTGAACAAAAAATACGTTGCCAAGACACTATCTTGCTCAGGTGTATTAACATGGGTTACAGCACGTCCATGATTAATATCATATTTTCCCTGAATGTATAACAGGCCAACAAGAGAAAATCCTCAATAACAGACAATTGGTTATGCTTTGTGTTGTCAGTCTCACAGCTAATAATCTTCAAGATAACCTAAATTACAAAAAATACATTGCACATACTGTGTGCTATTTCATGTATGCTCCATGCACACTGGAAGTGTCACTGTCAGCCAAGACCTAAGTCAGGAAATGTGCTTAGAGATTCCTCCTTTTCTAGTTGGTCCTTTCAAAATCAGATTGCAGAGCAACAGATGAAGGAAAGTTCGTCATATCCATTTTACGATCAAGCTTCCCAAGGCAGCGAAGACTTTAGGTGAAATCTAATGAACAAGACTGATACCAGTGGGATTTCATCTCACATGGTGAGCTGTAAGAAGGCAATAAAAGAGCAGCACAAGGCTGCCTTTTTACCACCTTGGCTGCAGCAGCTTGGAGAGGGTGAGACAAATCTCACCACAGTGGGTACCATGACTCAAGAGTCTAACTTCACGTGTAGTTAAAACACAGACACCAAACGTGGAATTAACAGTCACCTGGACAACTGTTTTCTTCTCCTTACATGATTCTCCCACAGCAAGGCCAGGTAAAGATGGAAAAGTTGTTCTTCCCCCCTGATTTTATTATAATAGGCCTGCAAGGCAGGCTTTCTGTGTGAAAGTTACCATGCTCTATTATTTGTTCTCCACTTGATTAAAAATAGAATGAATCTATTAGTCGCCTGCAAGCTTTTGCAAGCGAGTGTTGTCCTGAGGCTACAGAAACAAGACAAAAACAAGAATACTGGGAGAATTACATGCACCTGAGTAACTGTTCCAGGCTCTCTAAAAGTTGAAACTCAGTGGTTTACTCAGTATTTGGAAAGATATCTCTATAGCCAAGGGGCTAGAAACACATTTCTTTTAAATGGAGGTTTGGATTCCATACAGCATGCACATGTCATTCATGCTACACAAATAAATCACACAGGCTGGATCTGGACTCCTGTTAACTTCTCATTTATACAGTACTTTGCATAATAATACACCAGTGCCCGTAAGAACTCTGGAGGAACTTCAAGGAAAATAATAAATGATAATTCTATCAGTGAAAAGCTACCTTGGTAGGAGACCTGGTGCTGTAGGCAGAGTCATTCCAAATTCCACGTATCTCTGTCAGAAGAAGAAAAAAACAAAAAACAAAAAACCCCAAACAAATTAAAATCAAAATGCAGACTGTAGGAAGTTCACTGTCAGCCTTTTAAATGATGAATAGCAGAGATCACCAGGACTGTTACGTGTGACTTGATTGCAGCCATAAGAGCTTAGCTTTACACACCCAGCAGCACAAGAACATCTGGGAATCACTGCTACAGAGGGCTAGCAGTCTCTTCTGTCTTAATCAGAGACTTAACTTAAAAACCTCTCAAAACCACTGTCTCTCACTTGCAGAAGATCAAGGGCTGCTCCAATGTCTACTTAGCTTTAAACTTTCAGCAAACCAAGCTTTGCATTTGGAAATCTCTTTATACCTCAACCAGCATCAGACTGCAGCAGAGAGACCATTGGGCTTGGACTCAACAATCCAATAGCATTATGAAACTGTGTACTGAGTTGTTGCAGAACTTGAGATGACCTAAAAGATTATCTATGTGTCTCAGTGCTCCATAAAATGCAAGAAAACATAGACATGCCCTACTGAAAAATATGACCTAAGCCAAATACATTCTTTTTCATTGTCAAAATATGAACCAGCACATATATTTTAAAAAAATTAAGTTTTACTCTTGGATATAACAAGACTGATCTGTGAAAGATCGTAACTGGGAAGAACAGAAAAGTTATCCTAAAGGAGGTGAACTCCTATCTTCTCTTGTGGTTGGGATGGGAAAAGGGAAAAGAATTCAAACAGCTTAAAAAGTTCATCATCTTGTGATGGTAATTTTTGAATTCTCCTCATTCCAGAAACTGTTCCACATTTGTGACAAGTCTTGACAGCAAGGGCTGTCAAGTGACCATGGCTCAACTGGTGTTAACTACGTTTTAAATTGCATCACTCACATCAAATGGGTTGTTTACTGCCCAAGTTGGACCATAAGGTGATCCCCACTGGGTGCATATGTTTCCCCTCCCTGCTCAAGCAGGAGCGTTGTTTACCGGCTGTCCTGCAGAGACCCCAGGTGGTGCGACAGCTGTGGAATTGGCTGCTTGGCTGCTGGGAGCCACCAGTGCAAAAGCATCATCCAGCAGCGAGTGCATGGTTTGCCGAGCCTCTTCAATGGATGGCTGTGGTGGGACGTACTGGGAGACTGGGTGGGAAGGCAAGCCGGGGAACTTCCCCACATCAGCTGAAGATGATGTCTGAGGTTCAGGAGGCAAGTCCGGATCAGACTGGAGGAAACAGAAAGAAGGTGAAGAGCAGCCACAGAGAAGATCTGACCAGCCAGCTTCCAAGCCCCTGTGGGTCTTAAGTCCGAGCAACATTTTCTTTGCCAGAACTACAATGAGACAAGTGGCACAGGTGCCTAGTGCTGGACAAAACCTGCCCCTTACCCTCCCCATTTCTGCATGCACATATGCATGCACATACATAACACCAGCTGTTCAAATACTTCATTCAATGTGATCTGAAAGACACTGATCTCAGACAAGGCAGCGGAGCTCTGTGCAGGAGTTACTCAGCTATAACAGAAATTTTGTGGTTTGCAAGCACATATTGAAGTCATGCAGAGGGTGTTTACTCCACCCGGAAAAAGACAATCAGCTCTGTCTACATCTTTGACTTCTCTGCAGCTTTTACAGTTCCAAGAAATTAATTCAGTCTTTAGCTTAAAACTGACCACATCAGCAGTAATATTAAACGATTATTACCTCCTAGAAAAACACACAAAGGGAGCTGTTAAGCAACTAAGTGGTCACCTGCATGGAACTTAAACTTGGGTGCATCACCTGAATGGGATTCATATAAGTGCTTCACAGCAGCAATACCTGAGGCATGCATTGTAATTGCTACCTGGGATCTTACCACATAGGTTTATTGTTCATCAGTAACAGGAAATTAAATGAGCTTTGAAGCAGCAGACAGATTCCCAAAGCTCATTCTTACCACTGCATGCAGACTGCAAAATCAGCCTTCAAGACGCAAAAGCCTCTGCTTCACCAGGAACTTAGCATTCTGAGTACTATCTCGCTACAGATGCCAAAGGGCTGAGCTTGCTGTGTGACATGTCTTAATTAAACAACTTCCGATGACAAGTGATTCTGCTGCAGCATGACACTAAAATCACCATACTCGTGTTTGAAGGCAAAGGGAAACTGCAGAAATCAATATTCTAGTCATCTGACTGAATATGGAGCTAATGGCGAAATTCTTAAGGTTATTAAATGATCTTTCAAGATGAAAACTGTCCAGGGATTTCCAGTATTAGCATTAGGCTTAGTAAAGTCTGCTTAGAAGTAGTTAACGATGCCTAAATACAGTTTGTGACATGGATATGATTGAACAGACACATTGTCCAGTGTCTTTGCCTTTTTTAGACAGGAAACAAAATTAATTTTTGAGACATTGTACTAGAATTGTTTCATGTTACTGCAGTACAAAGACATGTTTCTCTTTCATCAATAATTAATTCCCACATTTTAAAGATGAGAAAACTTCTCATGACAGAAACTGAGTCTTCCACTCTGTGAGAGCAGAGGATGAATTTTCTTTAACATATGAATATATATAACATCCAGCAAATTGGACTAGAGTGGAACTATGTTCAACATATTGCAGAATATGCCAAGCATGCTTTCACGTGTATAATACAGTGGCATTAATGAAAACAAGGTTTTGGCTCTTGGTCTCTGTAATATCAAGGAATACTTGACAGAATTTTAACTGCTGAATACTGACAGACTGCCAATGAAATCCTTGTTTCACTTTGATTTACATGCTAACTACATGTGACTGAAACTAGCCATATAGACCATAGTCAGAAGGCCAAAAACCTCCCAATGTTACAACTGTCATTACAATTATCAGAACACTCCTAGCATTCAAGAGACATACATACAATATATGCAGAATTATTGACTCCTGGAGGCCTTTTGTACGTCCCATCACTGTCCGTTGTGATCAACCTGTCCTTTTCTGCATCAATCGGACTACCATTTATCTGATGTCGCCGGCGCTGCTTGGGAGAACGTTTTGCACGAGAACTTAACAGGAAAAAAACAAAATCCAGAGAGAGAAAAAAACAAAGAAGACAAACGTAATCACATTTCTTTTTGCAATTTTTCTTCTCATCGCACTCAAGGTTGAACTTCTCCCCCCATTCCCCTCCCAAGCCATCATTGCCTCATCCCTGTTTCTCTTCTCCTCCCCAGTTTTTCATGCCAGCCCCATTAGTTAGCCTCAAATCTCCTTCCTCCAATTTCTCCTACTAACACTCTCACTGCCACTCAAACTGTTTCTTTCCTCTCTCAAACTCTCTCCAGTGTCACCTCCCTTCTACATTCATCTTTCAAATTTGTCCATGCTCTAGCTCCCTGTCAGTGCCTTCCACAGACCTCCCAGACCAATGTCTGACACACTTGCAGTAGCAGAACAGACCATGCTGCCAACGAGGCTTTGTGCTGTGCATGTTGGGTTTAACCCTATCAGGAAAACCAAGACGGAGAAAAGCTACTTTCTATCAGTGCAGAAGCAGTCACAGGGTACCAGTGCTCCAAGAAAAAAGTACCAGGATTCATAAGCCCTAAAGAGAGTCCAGGGAAGACTTCCTCTGAAAACACAAGGCCAGGAAGGAAGATCCATGAGGCTGACAAATGTGCCTCATTACCCACAGCGAATTCATAAAACGTTATCTCATTGATTTGTGAATTTGTCTTTAAAACTCAGAATCTTCATGCTTTTTAAGTTGATCAAGGGTTTCCTCCTTTCCTCCCTTTACAAAAATATTATTTATTGAAGTTTATATTTTCCATGTATCTTTGTTTAGTGCTTATATTGCAATATTGATCCCTCTACACCACACAAGAATTATTCAAACAAATGGCAGAGCAAATACTAAATTGTTTTAAGCCAGTTTTCATACATTTGGGTTTATTTATCGAGAATTCACCCCTGAGAACTCGTAGAAGAATAACCTGAAAACAAAACATACTGGCATAACTGAAATAAATAAAAATATTTAGAACAACCCAACCCTCTTCACCTAGATAACTCAAATTCAACTAAGGATCAAAATTATCTTAAGCTCTGAAAGTTCAGAAGTACAGGTTTGATGTACTTTGGATGCTGACTCTGAAAGAAAATTGTTCTTTCCCATCTTTGAAATCCCTACCTCTTCCTGGGCTCTATGAAGACAGTAGGTACACTGCCTCCTCCAGGGTCCAAGATCTTGTCAATCTGCATCTGTGCCTTGCGATATATTCTGTGCTGTTCTTTGGAGTCAACTACCACCACATCATCCACCACTGGAAACTCGTAGTGCCCTTTGCGCTTAGCACGAAGACGAATCTTGTTGCGGTGATGCTCGATCTCAGATTTATGCCTCAGGGCTGTTTGTATCTTAAAGGAGGAGGGAAAAAGATCAACTGCAGTTTTCATGTGTAGTTTTTGTAAACAGAACATTTTGCTGCTCTTCTGTAAACCCCTTCTCCTTTCCTCCCTGCTGACTAGCAAAAGGATAGTAACACAAGGTAACCTGGTCATCAAATTTGTTCCTCTCTCAGTGTTTAAGTTTTGGTTTAGGTATCTCTGAAAACCAGATCTCTTTGGACAGAAATTGGATTATCCCTGTAACTTGTCAAAATTCAACTCTTCAGGAACTAATGAGGAACTCCTGATAACAAGAAACTGGATACTTTTAACTTCCCTCTTGGCTGGACATACAGTCCTCCAAAAACATTCACAGCACTTTAAAAATACCTCTTTATTAATTTTGTTGGTCTCTGCTACTCGGTCAGAAAGTACCGAGTTCTGAACTGGAGGTGCTGCCATCGGTTGCATAGCAATCAGCTGGATCTTGCTTGGGACTCGTCTGCTGGCATCTGAGGAACGTGACATCCTATCCACATGTTCAAAGATAGAGGCTGAGGAGTGCTGCTCATTTCCACTGCTGGTCTGAGGAGGTCCTAAATCACCAGAACAAATACAGGGTAAAGTAGTGCTACCAGGGTTATCTCAGTCAAATGTAAAGCTCTACAGATGCTATGCTACAAGGCTGTGCCATGTTTTCCATCTGTGTTTAATTTGCCCTGTAGGCCTTCCAGCCTACAGCAAGTTCACGCAGTCATTTGCAAATTATAAACATTTTTCCATTTTATTTCCAGAAGGTGAGCTGTCATTCGTTATTTCTGTAAATCAATCTCTTGGCATTTGCAACCCCACAAAATCTCAATCTACTTTACTCCATAAAAAGATGTTCAAGTACATACTGCTAATGGTTCCTCTTATCAGTACTTAAGGAGATGCAAATTCCTCAAATGGAGATTCAAAGAGCAATAAAAGTTTTCTTGTTACAAAATGCAGTTCTTAAGTGACAGAAAGAGTGATATGTGAACTAACAAAAAAACCCCTAGAAATCCACACAAAACACAAAGAATTTTACAGATGTTTTACTTATAAAAGCTTCTAAAGCACTGTTTTTGTCTGTGACAGGATAAACAGTTCGCACAGTAATAACCAAGCTGCACAAATATTGGCATGTCGCAATTTGTTGAAGAGGTTTTATTGACTCAAGTATGATCAGCAAAAGACAATAAGGAAACCAATATACATGAAAGTTGTGGCCCTGCCTGTTAATCACTTCAACAGAATTGGGGTATCTCCCTCAAAAGACTTGAAATCTGTAGGATCACCCCAGTGGTTTGCAGTTAAGCACATACTTAATTATTTTTTTTGGTGGAGCTAGGCCTGCAATAGGAACTGTTATGGGGATTAGGCTTGCATGAAGTATTACAGGCTTACAAAATAATCTTTTGTCTTGTCCATGTGGTAACACCACAAATTCTCAAACTGATTTTCACCATGAAATATAAGCAATAAGAGCTTAAGATTTGTGACTCTTCTTACGGAGTTATGGAACAGAGTAGAGGGACATAGTCGCACATCCTTGCACAGACTTCTAATAAACAGGTTGTAGTTCTCAGATGCAAATCAGGAGGAGAATCTGATTTGATTCCAGTACAGAATCAATTGTTGATCAACCTGATCCAACTCCAACAGATAAGGAGGAAAAGAAAACAGCCACTGCTCTGATTGATTTGCTACATGTGCTGGTAATGAAGTAAAGGGTTCAGAAGAGGAGTGAATGCTATCTTCTGTAGAAGATCACAGCAGATGACTTGCTCCTTTGCTTCCCTCTTGTAGCAAAAAAAGGGAGCAGCAGAGGGAAGGAAGGAATGATACACTTTATTCATAGTACATTACTTTTGGGCTGGAAATCAATCTGGCCACAAGCTAAGCAAAATTCTTATTTTTCATATTTCTTAAACTTGATCAATTCATTGTCAAATGCACACATTTAAAAATGGCATGCATCATTTATGAAGGTGACTTTCCTATGTAAGTGTCCTTAAAAATAAAGTAAACAGTTCCACTCAAGATCTCTGTCCCCCAAAAGTTTCGCTAGACACATAGCCTAAATGAAATATATCTACCTCTCTTCTGTAGCTATTTATATGATCTTTATCATTTGTCATCTTAACAGACCCATCTTCATGCATTTCCTGGAAGCATGCAAGCATTGCCTCTCACAGAGAGGGGCACAAGATACCTTAAGTAGTTAGTGTGAATCCCTCAGAGCAATCCTGTAGTGCAATGGAAATCTGCGTTTCTGCATCCATCTTTCAGTTTTCCCCAAACATTAGTCATTTGTTCTAACCTTTCCAGTCTAACAGCAATTCTCAAAGCTCACTGACCTCCAACATAAAAATTTTACGGTAATTTTCATCCTACTTGGTTTAGCAAGGTCCAATATATCCCATCATGCTGAGCATTCACTCTGAATCTTTATCATTTCACCCATAACATCTCCTTTTGCACACATAAACAAGTGCTTGGCAGAGGCCTTTTATTTGAAATGGTTCTTAAACTCATTTTGTAAAACTGTCCAAAAGTCTCACTATCAAATTTTGATAAGGCTCTTCAGTAACATCATACATTACTCTCTTTTGCAGAAAAGATGCACACACACAAACCCCATAAGCTGCACCTGACCTTTAAATCCTCTCTGCGTGCACACTGAATGTGTCTATAAATACAAATGAAGATGGAATTATAGTAAAGTAGATAAGAAAGCCAGGAACTGCACAGTGCTATATACATATAACAAAAGGAGAAATGGTTTCTACCTCAACACGTGAACGAGCTCCTTTAGAAGTTTTGACAGAGTGAATAAGAATAGTTTCTTGTTTCAAAGTTCTTACATTACACTATTGCCCATGGTTAGAAAACTTTCCTTATAAAGATGACACTACATGAATGAAATTTAGATCTCAGACTAGAAAGTTGAGGCTGAAAAGTAATGGAGAGGAATTAATACTCAAATACTGGACAGAGCACATTTAAACAACTAGTCCATATAGGTCACGTCAGGATCAATGTTCATCACTGTTCCCTGGGTTGAAACCATTAATTGAACTGAAATGTCAGGAAAATGAATTTTTCTGAAGGAAGCTATGATTTCATATGAAAACCAATACAGCTGGAGATAGATGAAGGCTATTGCTTCCCACACTCTCTTGAAACAAAAACAAGAGACACAGCAAAAGTGTGCACAAAGCCTAATCGAAAATCAGGTAAAGTGAATGGGAATCTTCCACTGATCCATAGGTATTTGAATTATGACAGAGCATGCAGTTTCAGATAAATTTCACACAGTTTCTTTGTATCCCAGTAGATTACGTTCCCATGATGCAGCTGACTCTTGTTAGTTACTTGTCCAAACCCAACAATGGAAAACATCATAGCCAACCTTCTCTACTATTAAAAGATGGAAACTGCTATCAGAGGACACAGTCCTTAATTTATCACTAGATATGGTGTGCATTATCAAAGACAGTGTCAGCTTTCTCCTGCCCCATATTTGCTATGTCTCAGTCCTGACCAGAAAAACACTAGTTCATGAGAAAATACTTGTACTTCTTTGCAGGTAGGTTGCATTTGTCTTGGGCTTCCAGTAAAGACACTAACAAGATCTTGTTTACACAAAGCTAGTTTCAGGACCAACACATGCCTCAGCTTTGCTTCTTTCACAGTGATGTTTTCCTCAATAATTTGAAAAAAATGGGAGGAAATTAGAAAAATGTGCCTGAATTGGATGACTACCATTTCTGTTACTGAGAATTTTTTATACTTCAATAGCTCAAAATAATTTCGGTTTTTTAGACTTGGAAGATAATTCCTTCCATCCTTAAGATAAAATTACAGTTACTCCAGCACCTCTATTCATATTTGTACTTAACTACTAGCTCTGGTTACTTACCCACTCTGTTTGCTCCTGACAACATAAAGGAAAAAGAAGAGACAACACAGTAATTATTACAAATAATTCATCTGGAATGGCAACTGGATAAAAACACAGCAAGATGATTGCATTTACTTTTGAATGAAATGCATGAACTTGCATCTAACTTCCAAGCCTCAGCTGCACAAAAAGGGAGCCGAAACTGCCATTTAACAGACAGAGTGCTCTCTGCAAACAGTGCCTCCAATTCTGAATGCTAAAAATAGCCCCTATGACTACCAAAGTAGAGACACCAAATGCTGAAAAAAGTATATTTGATCCAGTACGGGCATGATAGGTAAAGAGGACACATTTTACACAATATCCTTGTTGCCTTTGCCAGATAATTCAGATGCAGCAATACCTAACACCTCTACACTAAAAGGACATGTTAAACATTACATAAAGTTTTAAGACAGATGGAAAATGAAGAGACAAAAATAGAGTTCCCAGGTAAGAAGAAACGGGAAACCACTAAATCAGGGCAACAGATTTGAAGTCAGATAGGTTGCAGTAACACATAAAGTGAGTGAGTTCATCCTGACACGAGCTTTTTCAGTATCTTCCTTTTGTAAACTGTGTAAAATACATACAGCATACACTGTCTGCTGAATTATTAGGAAGTACGACTTTCTAGTCACATTAGAAGACCCTGTGCTTTGTTTTCTTACATGTTCGTTACAGAGGAAAGCCTGCTCCATCACCCTTGGTCTTCCAGGAGCAGTCCACATTATGAAAGTTTAAGAATCATACACTACTGCTGTTTAGACACCCAAGAGCTAGCAGTTTATACAAACTATCTTACATATTCCTCAATTTCTTTTCTTCAACATAAGCAAAAACTGAAGATTGACTGCTATGAGCTAAATTTCACTGGCACTGCATTTCTTAGTAGCCACCTTTACGAGTCCTGCTGTGACCTCTACTGCCCATGTAACTGTCTGTAAGATTGCTACCACAAGAGCCACAATTAGGCCTAATTGGAAAGAGGTTTGCTGTGGATGTGTGGGAGAGAAAAGGAGGGAAGAGTCATTCCTGCCAAGCCATTAGTTTCAAAAGCTTGCTGGAATGAAAGGAATGTGTAGAATTTCAGTTTCAACAGCAGAAACTAAACCAAAAAGGAGAGGAAGAAAATTTTCTGCAACACAAACCAGAAAAATTAACAGACAAAGACGAGTTCAGAAAAGTTACATGACCCGACTAACACTTCAACCTGAGTAAAGCACTGCTAGGGCACACAAGGAAAAAAAAAAAAATAATAAGAAACAAACCTTTCTTCACTGCTCTTCGAGGTTTGCCCTCATTTGCAACAGCTGATGGTCTTGAAGTTTCTTCTCCTGTCTCTCTCCCGCTGGATTGTTCACTTGCTGTGGAGTCAGCATCTGATGGCGAAACTCTGCCACAAGCATTCAAAACCAAAGTAACATGTAATGTAAGTTTGTGAAGGGGAACAGTTCTCATGCAAAGAATCCTGTGCTACAGTATCTTGTGAAGACTGCTAATATTTTCCTATTTATAAGTAAATTTATAATAAATTATCATAGTCAGATATTCATTGCCATGATGTCACTGTGTGAAAACTGACTGCAACAGGACTCACATTATTAAGTAATCTTTCCTTTAAAATATACTTCAAGAAAACACTCTGCATTCATAAGCAGCAGTTTACTTTTCAGACAGAAAGGAATTATATTAGAAATAAGAAACATGTACAGGTAATTAGTCTAATATTCAGACTTGCTAACTTGGTGTTCTCTTCCTAACGCTACAAGTCCATGTGCATATTTTCCTGACTAGTTAAACACAGGGCCATTCAGAAATGCAACTTTACGTATTTATCCCACAAAGTCATGATATTCTTAGAAATATGTTACGTACAAATTACAATCTCAGTGTTCACAATTTTTGCAGATGATTAAAGAAAAATATAAAGAAATACTGTAATTTTCCCCAACAGAATATTTCAGGTGTAAAATTATTCCGTTAGTATAAAAATAGCAAAAATATAGGGCACACACCACTGCCCAGCTGACACCACAGCATGTCCTTTCATAATGGGATCAGCCTTTGTCATAGTATCTCTAGTGACCATTTTGTCCTGTGAATACTCATATTCTGTTCCTGCAGGGAATTAATCCCTGAAAGTGTGCACTAGTCTGTGCATTAACCTTGTTAAGCGCGAGATCTTCTCGGGCTAGATAGATATCTGAACTAGCTACTAAGGCTCTTGGCTAAATATCAACCTGCCTAGAGCACACAGACTAAGATAACTATACCCAGACAGACAAGTTCCTTAAAAGTTAAACCTACTCCCTGCAGCAGGCAATGCTCCGAATTCAACTCCCCTTTTTCTCCTCCCTGAACAATGAAATGTCTTTCCTTTTTTTCCTGCAGGACTGTAATACTAATAAGTCACATCCCAACAGAAAAAAAATAATATATATATATTAGCAGGGAAAAAAGGAGAAACAGACCTCACAGATCCGCACAACTGCATCTTTTCCTCTTTTCTAATGTGGAGAGTGTGGGCAGAGCTATTGTCTCCATCACCTTTGTTTTAGTTCAGCACAGTATAAGGCTGGCATTCTGTTTACAGATTTGCGACTGACTTTCTGTTTCACCACACTGTGCCTTGTTTTCTTTCATACTCTTTCCTCAGTCTATCTAAATTATCATTAAGTAAATTATAGGAACATAAATAATTCTGAGTCAACATAACTCATTCTTTATAAATGCTGAGGAATATGCAGTTGTATCCTCTCAAGCCAAAACAACAGGTCGAGCTCTTAGCTGGAGTCTAGAGATGCCATTCTTTCTGAACTCCGTACTCTTGTTTACCGTTTTTTACCGATACAGAACATGTACTCGTATCACCACTATATTTCCTGGCATGCAACATACAGGCCTGAATTGCATTGTGATGACCTGAGTTCTGTATTCCTCACAGAACAGAAAACAGCTAAAACCAACTTAGACACTATGCTAGCATGTCATATTTCAACTTCTGCCTCAGGGAACAAATGTTTTAAATCTCAAGCTGACATGGGCATGTCAGCATGTTAGGGAGACGATGGTAACATCTCCATAATTAAGCCTAAAGGGAGATTTGCTCTTAAGAGAGGATGAGGCAGAGGAGGCAAATTCTCTTTTGAAAACATTTTGAAGTGTTTGAATTTAGATGCTATTAAAAAAAGAAATATCATTGTTCCAAATTTGATCAATGATTTAATATTGTCTTCAGGGGAAGCACTGAAATGCTGGCTTCTGAAAATTTTTCCTCCTTCATTTTCTGAATTATTCTACATGAAATATAGTAACAGCCTCAAGTTTAAATTTCTTTCTTATACTTAGGTGCATATGAACATAGATACCTTCTCCTCCCTCTAAGCATTATCTCTGTCTTAGGCCACTTTTGAACTTTTCAAAAGAAACACCTGTCCTTCTGATTTATATTAATTTAAGCTACACCAAAACAAGTCAGCTAATTTTTCTTTCATTATTTTCCATTGTTGCCCACCTTCCACTGTGCTACCGGTAGTCCATTACTTGCAAGACCTATAGGGACTTACGAAGACAGGCTCAGCATATGGGAAGGTGGAAACTGAGCTGTACGAGGCCCACGTGGGGAAGATGAAGCAAGGATCTTAAGTCAACTGGGGCTTTAGAGGAAGCACAGAAGGTTCAGCACTATGTCACAGAGACCTGCAGCTCAGGAAGAACCATTGTTAGTTTCTTTCTAAGCTTATTCAACTTCGCCCTTGCTTTTGTTTTTATTTTTTTTTTTTTCTCCCATCATGCCTTAACACATACCTAAAAGCACAGGGGATGCAGAGCTGGAGACAAAGGAATGCAAAAATATGAGAGGGAGGGTTAAGAAGAATTACTAGAAAATGGAGCAGAGAGGAGCTGTTTGTGACTCATCATAGCACTTCTCTCCTCAGAGCTCCATTCTTTCCCACCTATTACCTTCTCATTTATCCCCCCCTTTTTTTAAATGCACAGATTATTCTTTACTGCATAGCTCTGTTACACAATCTAGCCTAAAAACATAATCCCTTCTGGTAAGACACATTCACATAATTTGATTCTTGGAAAAGGTTAGGAAATTACTGTTGAAGGTTGACAGGTGCTTCTCCAATTGCACAGCTGTAAATTATCACTCCTTTTCCTGACTGAAACTGGTTTGCTAAGAAAACAACCAGGTAACCACAAGAAAAAGCACTCTCACATCTTCCATGAATTTTGTAGATGCTGCTTATTTCTGGAAATTCCAACTTATCATATATATATTGATCACTATTAATATTACTGAAACACACACTTACTGCTATTTGTCAATAGTTTTCATTTCTTTTTAACCACCCGTTGCCTTAATAGCTAGAGGTCACTAGAAAGAGAATGCATCGGAAAATAGACACTGGGTGTTTCTACTAAACAAGTAATGACCTGACTCCAGCCAACCTAGCCGTGTCTTAAATACCCCTCTTAACTGGGCACATTGCCTTTAAGATAAAAATGGACACTAAATTCTCACAATCTTGTACTAAAGAGTAGCGAGGCATAACTCTTGATGTCTTACTAGAAAATGCAAGTCCCAGAGCTCTGGAACAGTTCTGTCCACTGAAATTACCCTATAAATTGCCAGACATTAATAAACTGTCATCTACAACAGTTCAGTTTTCCTCTGTGAACTGACCTCCCTCTGTGTCGAACAGTCTTTGAAGGCTTTGAGGAGGTCTTGGATTTGGGGCTGGGCACATCTCCATTTTCAGATGGGGTAGTATCCTTAATAGGTCCTGGTAAAGGAGCTGGCTCATGGATAATCAGAACATCATCTTTATTGTGCTGGCCCAGATGCTGCTTAGCAAAATCAAAGCCTTTCACACTGGGTGCTTGTAGCTGTGAGAGAAGAACAAAGACAAAAAACCAAGAACCATGAGTGACAATGAGTACAAAGGCTTTGGTTAAGATCTGCAAACAATGGCCTCTAGGAGGATGGTCAGGCTACCCTAGTCTCAGGAATGAACACAAGAGAGCTGCAGGGAAAAGAAAAATAAAGACTCCACAATTCTGCCATCTTACTTCAGTATATGATACACAGTTTAAAACTCCAAATCAGCAAATGTAGTTAAAAAGTAGCCTTCTGTTGCCACTACATCTTTTTCCAGCTATTTCTTCAGATTCAATAATTGTGTAAGGAGCTTTTTGTGTACTTGCAGATGCAAGGCGACAGACAGCTGTGTACTGACTGAAATGGTTACCACTGCCAGGTCATCTTTCCATTTCTTTCAGTCAAAATGAACGAAGTGAGTTTAAATAATTTGATAATGTCAATGCTGATCTTCCTCATTTTGAGCTCCTCCAAATCTACAGGAGTCTCGGAGTGCGTGTACAAACACTTAGTTCATCTGATGAAAGACAAACATTCTGCAGATCTGAGTTATACAGCATCCCGGCAATGACTTTTCAACCAGCGTGGATTCCTCTAGAAAAGAACTGAAAACCTAGCTCCTAGGAATTTCATACTGAATAGACAGAAAAATATATAAAAGGCTTTGGAGGTTAGAGAAATTAGATACTTATCCTTGAGATCTTATTAAGGGATTATGGATTCAACGAGCATATTGCTTGGGAAAGACACTGAACTGGGCCTCTCATTTTCATAACTGTACTTATAAAAGAGCTAATCTCACCTTGTCAATGACTTGATTCAGACTTAATTTAATCAAGCCTCCAAGTTTCAAGCTGTCTTGTTGATTTTTTTTTAATTTGGAGTAATTAGCAATTCTGAAGAACTAATTAAGAGAAAGTTTTTTTTCAAGCCCCACTCAATTTTATGTAGCTTGGAAGTTGAAAGTAGAAAGAAATGTTGACAACTCCAGTTTTCACAGTGCATGCACACATCCCCACTGCAAAGCACATGCACAAAACCCTCTGTGTGCTCCTAGAGCTGATTTCCTGCAAAGTGAAGCATGTGTTGGAGTGCGTTTATGGGTGTGTCAGGTTCCAGATGTTTAAATGAACCCCCTTTCATAAAGATTGGCATGCCAACATAGCTAACTCCAAACAGACTCGTCTGATATCATGCCAAAGATAAGCTTGCCTAAGGAATATTCTGAAACAATCTCTTCAAAATATTTTCTCAGTAAGCAAACATTTTCCAAATGGTTCTTAGAAAGGATGTTGGAGTAAAGCAAACTGCCTACTTAGACCAGTAGATGGCAATAAAAGCTCTCCTGTAAAATCCAATAACTATCTGAATGGTTGAGGTTTTGGAGTTAATTTCTCACAAAATGAGTAAGCTTATTATTTGAACAGTTCTGGATGTCTTCCACTATACTCCATTTTTCTTGGGCTTTACAACAGTCCTTTCGATTCAGCATTATGGGTGATTCAGTTATTGAATTTATGTAAATGACTGCAGCCACTGATTCAAAAATGCACTGTTGAGCTAGGCCAGGTCAAAGTTTAACTGTTTTTCCATTTTCTGAGTCATAGCCACTGAGTGAACCCTTCCTGAAACTTTCCCCTCTTCAGAGTTGAAACATTGTCTTCATGGTCTTGCTTGCTTAAAAAAAAAATAAATTCCAAAACCCCATGCTTTGCCCCCGCACCTCCTCACCCACCCTGGAAAATACTTCTAGGGAGGAACTTCTCACTTCCACTGTCAGAATTATCGTGCCAGCTTGCAGCACTTTGATTGCTGAAACTCCTCTTAGTTACACTACCTCCACTTCTGATCTGTTTGACATTATGTCTGTTCGCTTTGAAGATATTCCTGCGTGTGACATGCTTCCTTTGAACCCCTTTAGTGGTTTCCCTTCTTCCAACTCTTTTGTACTCCACCCTCATGCCTGCACACAGCCTTGCTGCTGATCCCTGATAATCACTTCCTCTACTTCACTACATTCCCCTCCCCTGCCCTTCGCTCAAAAGATGATGCCAGTCTTCACCATGGGGTACAACTATTTCACAAAAAAATTTGGTGGTGCTCTACCCTTTCATGAGCACCCTTGACTTGACCTGCAAAGTTACTACTCATCTTTGAATAGTGTGATGGGTGGGGTGGCCAGGGACAACTGAAGAGACAAACATTTCAGTAATGGAATTACTAGTGTGGTTTTATTAAGATTGCTGCATGTCTGAAGCACGCATTTCAACATACCTTAGAGTTAACTCTAGCATACTGGGGTTTGCAAACCCTCTGGGGAATAAAGCAACATGCAACAATATAATTTTATCATCTTTTAACTTTGAATACTCTTATTCCTAGCTGCAGTCTAACATAACCTTTCATCTAAGCGCAGTTACGGAAACATAGATTTATGTGTACACGTACGTACACCACAGCATATGTATGCACAAATGTTTATCCACAGACAGACCACACAGAAGCTGAATTAAAAGACTGTTAGCATTGCGAAGACAAGCACTCACACTATAAGAAATGGCACAGATTGTCTGAACAATCGCAATTGGATCCTCTCATGCATAAGCACTGCAACAGAGCCTTGAGTTACAGAATCATAAATTCATTTCTTCCATAGGAATCATTTTGCTTTCTCCTACCCTGCTGGATCCCTGGCATAGGCCGGGCCTTCTGCTATTAGTCAAAGTTGGGTAGAATATAAGAATGTAAAACCAATTTGTAGAATCATGATACCCATCTAATTTCACACAGAAGTTGGCAAACACGTAGTAAAAAGGAGGGGATTTAAGAAGAGAAAGAATGTATTCTTCTATGCACATCTGCACCTTGGGTGGCTGAGATTTTGACAACAGATTTCATGGACATTTGCTGGCAACAAGGGACTGGCAAGTCTCACGTTTATCACCATTCCAGGCCTCAGGAAGCGCTCAGAGCAGGACCTGTGCTCTATCTTCCTAAAGTCACAGCCAGGTAAACTCCTTATCTGGTCTTATTCTTCCTTGCCATGTAGAACCAGTCCTAACATCTCTAGATATCTCCTGTTAAAAAAGCTTAAGTTGGCACTACCAGCTCCAGACAATGTATGAACAGCACGAAAGACTGCATGCATATGTGTATATGCGTGTGTCCCTATGAATGAGAAAACACGAATGATACAAAAATATAATGTGAAAATACATATATGTAAAACATGATACCTGACTGAATGTGAAAAGATGATCCTCAAATAAAAAAGGATAAAAACTTATTAAAACTAATACCCATAATATGATTAACACAGCAGAAATAATGCCAACAGAAAACCACTTAATTTTCTTAAAAAAAATAATAAAATCTACACTTCTGATACCTCACCCCTTAGACCATGGCAACATTGTGACTGAGAACTGATACTAACCAAAATCTACGTTTCAAATGCCAAGTGTCCAAAGGACATTAAAACACAACTCTGCTTTCTGCAAGACTAGATGGTCAGATCACTGAGACTCCGTGGAACAAACAAACAGTGTTGTTCCAGATTGAAGAGGTTTCCTACATTTTCTTAGTAGCATGCTACCTGCCACATTGTCCTTCCTTTTCTATATATCACATTATATAATAGGGTAACAGATGGAATGGCCTCTGCTCATCTTGGGTCAGGTAGTCAGAATACCACGTGTGGATCAGTCATCTACTACCCATAAATCAACCACCAGCAAGGAAAGAGTACAATCCCTTTTTAAGAGCACACGTGCTGATACTGCTGCCTATTCTGGTGCTGAAACTGAGCCTCTTTTTATAAGCCTCACGTGACTTTAACTAAGAGTGCACACAACCAGTACTAACAAAGATTTCCTGTTTTAAATGTAAGTAGTTAGAAAAGGTTTTCATTTGTCATCTTTATACGTTTGTGAAAGGGAAAAGGTAAACAACTCTGAAGCTTACCACCAAAACCAGACTGCCTGAACTAATCCATTCTTAAAGCATTATATTATTATAAGAATGCAGAGCCTGATAAAATCTAAGGGGAAGATGATTTCAAATTGGTAAGTCAAGACAGTGCTTTAATTCTGTTGTTATGTACTAAAAAAAAAAAAAATTGAAGCTCAATTCACAGAAAAATCATAATTTCTGCAGAAGTCTACAAAGTCTGTGCACCTTGTTCAAGACTTATTCCATGAAAGCAGCAAACAGTTTTAATACTGTTCCAGTCACAGAAATATTACATGGTTGATGATATATTGTTTTGCTAGATGCAGACACACACCAGGAATGTCAACGATCTGTTTTCTCAAGAAAGCAAATACCGCACACACAGGCCAGCGAATAATGCGAGCAGAAAAGAAGAAACACTTACTCAGTATTCTTCCTGTAGTTCCTAAATGCTGCATTTGAATTCGGACATAATACGATGAATAACCTAACAAGACAATTTTTTATTGATTTTATACCACAGTATTGCCTTGTTCCTTGTAGAGATAGACGCATTCAGCAGAGGCTGTTAAAATACATTTCCAGGGAAACAAAGGAGCTAAGCATGATTTCAAAAATAATATTTTAGCGTTGGTACATAATCTATAAACAGGACAGGAATCCCTGTAAAGAAGTCCAACTGACTTATGACCTTACTAACATGCTAGCATATGGAATGTTAGAAAAATGACGGGATAAAGAAACTTCACAGAAAAAATGTTTTCAAGTCTACTACTTTAAAAGCAGCAAGGCAATGAGAATCAGTGTTCTAAACATTAATGTGGGCTGAAGATGTAAATAAGCCTGATATAGGGTTGCTTAAAAATACCAAGCATCGCAAATTTCCTTCCACAATCTGAGATCCATACCACCAAACCCTTCTCCATATTCCTGGGGCACCACAGCGTAGGACAGTGTGAATTCACTGCATTACTCTCATGATGCACCAGTAAGGACAATTGTTTGGAGATGCTAGTGTGCTTTCTAGGGTCTTCTTAATGTTAACTCATTTTTTTCA